TTTTTTTTTATCTTTGTGAAAAGACGATTCAAACTTTGCTTGAAATTTATTTTTTAAGCAAAAAAAAAATGAATCAAATGATCGAGTACAAAAAATCAATAAAATCATTAGATTCATAAATTGTCTCAAAAAGAACCATCCACTTATAGCATAGGATGACATAAGAAGGACTTAACATGTTTAAACAGATAGTTGGCAAAGAGGAATTTCAGTAATACCAAAACAAATTATTTAATTTATTACAATTTGGCTTTGATTTAATCAAAGGTGTTCAAATCCTTTTTGCGTGTAGAAAACATTTTAAGTTGGATAGCCCAATATAATGACATGGATTTATCTTTTCTTTTCCAAACAAGGAACAAATAAAATAAGACAAAAAAAAAATGGCTAGGAAAAAGTAATTAGAAAAATAAAATCTAGTCAATTTCATAGAGCAAAACTCTATGAAGCAACTTGGAATAACTTAAGTCAGATATACAGCCTACTAAAATTACTATTAGACCTTATATTCATCATGTCATGACTTATCTTCACTCCCTGACTTTGGTTTCTACTCAGAATTATTCTTGACTTGTTTATCATCACCTCTGGCTGATTCCTCGTCTTCTTCTTCTTCTTCTTCAACCTGCCAATTAATGCAATGAAATCAAACATGAAATTGAATTATGCATAACAAATGTCCCATTATATTTAAATTTGTTTTTTATCCATGCATACATATATATACTTTATATAACTTCAACCTTTTTTTCTTCTCAGCAAATATAACTTCAACTTATTATATACATACTCCGAAAAAAAAACGTTGATAATTTATATAGAAAATTAGAGATAAATGCTCTTAAGCAATCAAAATCACGTCAACATAATTATTAATTTTTTTATGGCTTCTCGTAGAAATACGTTTAAATTAAAAAAATTTCAAATAAATTAAAACAAATATATATAACTAAAATCTAAGCACAAGTTGATTATGGACAAGATTAAAACTAGGGTGAAAAATTAAAATTCCAAAAGAAATTCAGAAGTATATATTGACATGAATATACTTATACCTCATAACAAACGAGTGAGTCCACATTAACTTGGTTCCAATTGACACTAGCCATATTTCCCTCCTGCTCCTGGCCAAGATCATCATTCTTGGAGTTAATACTCTCATTTGCAACTTCCTTTCCCTCGCATGGCTCATCTGTTGTTTTCATGCGATTGTAATTATCAGCCTTTGGGGTACCCATGCAAGAGCAACCCCCAAAACTCTTAAGAGCACCAAACATTTTGCTTGTAAACCCCATGGTTGATGTAGTTCTCAAAACCCTATAAAATACTTGCTATGGTCTTGGTTTATACAAAAGTAGGGAATTTATAAAGGTGGATTCTAGGGCTACTCAATATTCCTTTTTTGAATGGACAAGAGTTGTTCATGGAAATAGTGTCCTTAATTGTAAAGTATAGCTTCATAAATGTCGAATCAAAGCAAAATAAATAATATGGAATGATCACAGACTGTAAAATTTGATTGCATACCAATTTTTCAGGTCCATCAAATCCGATTCATTATTATTATTATTATTAAGATATGAAATTTGACTCTTTTTTTTTAAATTTTTTTTATCGCAATTACATTTATGAGTACAAAAATAGATTTTATTTAAACAACTTTTAATATATATGACAAAATACATTCACTAGAAAAAATCAAAATTAACTAAAAGAAAACAAAATAACATTATATCACATACGAGACTTGAATTCGAAATCTTAATTTAAGATTATATTTCAATAAATCATTTTCTTATCATCAACAAGAAGCTAAAAGAGATTATATGAGCATTTATACATCTATAATAGCTCGGTCTCTTTGATCGTACAACTAATACTTCCAATAGTGCTCTTACAAATAAAATACAAGTGTCTGTAAAGAAATATATCTTGTTATTACCTTTATAAAAAAAAAGAATGTCTTTTTATTTCAAGTTTTAATTGTTTCAATCATTGATCACTTGACATAGGCAATTACTTAGTTACTGATTCAAATCAATTAATATTTTACATATTAATTTGTAGATTACCTCATGAATTATTAAATCTCATCCTTTCATTTGTATAAACACTTAGCACTATATTGGTTAGTGTTGGAACTTTGGGTATTTTATTATAAACATAAAATGTCTTATTTAGGTTTTATGTGTGGACTCAAATTATTCCCAAGTTTGACAAGGTCAAAACAGTTGTTGGAAGATAAATAGCCTAATTAATATGGGCATTTACCCCTTTCGAAAAGTTACAATACAATCATATATATATATATATATATGTGTGTATGACACATGGAAAAAGTATAAAATTTTGCAGCTTATCAAATTCAAATAAAAGACTATCTTATATGTGAAATTTGAAAATGTCTAAAATTAAAAAATGTCTAAAAATTACACAAATTATCAAATCTTTCTAAATTACTACTATAAATTTATTTTTTTCCAATTTTACCATAATTTGTTGGAACATATGTTTTCAATATTTTAAATTCAAAATCATTTATATCCCTATTGTCTCCATTAATATAATTATAGTCTCTTATCATTAAACTCTTTCTAAAGTAAATCGTCATTTGTTTATATTTCATTTTCATAAATCTTTGGGCACTTTTTAAGATCAATTTTAGTGTTTTGGTAGCTAGCTAGCTAGCTGGAACCTTAATTAATTTCAATTCAAGTACTAAAGCTTCACGATGTGATTCTTAATTTAAATGTTGAACTATTTGTTAATGTTTAAGCCACATTTATTTTTAGAATAAAACATTTTTTATTTTTTTCCTAATTTTTAACTTCAACTAATTTTTTTTGTTTATTTTAAACTCAAAATGAGACATATTTTTCATTTAAAAAATAATCTCCATCTTTTTTGAAACTCTAGAAATCATTCAAATAAGTATACAAGACTTTCATTTTTGGAAAGAGAGATTTGCTATATAAAAAAAAAGGTTAAAAAACCTCAACCAGAAAGA